AGATGTTCAGGGCTCGGTGTTAGGGTCTCCCAGGCCCTGGCTCCATGGGCGCCACTGTGGCTAGTCGGCAGGTGCGGGTCAGATGTGCTGCCAGCCCTCCCGTGCCTCCAGTTCACTTTTGCATGGACAAGCACCCATTTCTTCTGGTCATGGGGCTTAGTCAAGTGGACACCAGGATCTCTGTGCTTCCTCAACCCAGTCATGGCAGCAGAAGGAAGACAGCAACAGCTGCTGGCCGGGTGCAAATTTGAAACAACTGTCGCTCTAAACCCCTCCTGGGTGTTTTTTTTTTTTTTTTTTTTAGCAGCTTTTATCAAAAAGGAACTCTGGGCTGTTCTTCCCCCTCTCTGTTTATTTGTGCTGTAAAGAGAGGGGGGTATCTGTGAACAGCCCCTTGGCCGGCTCCCTCTGGCAGCAGCCAGGGCACCCGGGTTGTTTAAGGAGTGTGTGTGGAGTCAAGCTTGTGAGCAGTCGTGTGGGTCTTTGGTTTGTTTCTCCTTTGCAGGTCCTTTCATTTCAGTCATTGCCTCCACCTCCTGTCCCTCACCAGCTCTGAGTGCTGCTGTGTGCGAGTGGGGGGCACTGTGCACATAGGGCCCTTCCTCCAGCCTCTCTCTGTAGCACAGACCACCAGGCCCAGCCTACTGGTGCCACAGCAGGCAGCAGGTGTATGGTCTGGCGCCTGCAGGTTCCCAAGCATGAGCTGGACAGAAGACGGTTCAGCTTCCAGATCCAGAAAAGCCAGAGCCTCCTGTAGTCCTGGGAGCCTTTGGTGGCCTAAGCAAAGGGCCAGGACAGCTCTGGAGCCTCCGTGTGGGGACAGTGAGGTGCAATATGTGGATTTAACTTATTAGCCAACAGGCTTCCCTAGTCACCTGCCTCTGGCTGAGGCTGAGCTCAGTGCTCACCGCAGCCTGGCTTCCACATGTCTGTTTCTCGGGGGTGGGGGGCTGGGAGAGCTATGGAGATCAGTCTTTGTAGGCACCTAAGTGGCACGAACAAGTCAGTTTTCAACAGAGGCCAGCCCTTACCTGTGAGTTTGGTATGGACAAGGATAGAGCAAGCAAATGCCACATCTGGCTGACCATGAACCAAGACACCTGCCCAATGCCTCCCAGTGTGATGCTGTAATATAAATCCCCCATTAACCTGTCCGACAGTGGCATCTTCCTACAGACATTACAAGCGCGTAACTTTTATATGAAAAAATAAACAGGCAAAAGCCGTCTGATGCCGCCTCTGTGTCCAGGCTTTCTGTACCAGGCTGCCTTGGGCCAATCCCTACCTGTTTGTGACCTAGTTGAAGGGGAAGGGGGGGTGGAGCCTAGGGCTCTGGTCGGCATTCTCTTCTCAGACCTGTTCTTGTGGTTGTGGTCGTTCTGGCTGAGTAGATGGATAGCACCAGGACCTGCCTTTCTCAGACTGAAAGGAAGCAGGCCTAGAAAACAGATTGGTGGCCATGGGCACTTACCACCACTCTGACAACCTGGGTTCTCTGGGACCCATGAGGTAGGAGAGAACTGACTCTTGCAAGGTGCCCTCCACCTATACACGCACACACACACACACACACACATATATGCATGAGAAAAAAAAAAGAAATACACAAGCACTGTGCATACCCAAGAGCTCTGTCCCTGCTCTGTCATCACAGTACCTTCTGCGGGTCACTCCTGTGACTTTCCAAATGAATGCTGAGAGAAGGGGTGGTCTCAGAGCCATGAAATGTCCTCAGACCTTGGGAATGAAGTACCACACCCAGGAGGACAGCTCCTAGCCAGCCCCTGATGAAGTCAGACTGGAGAGAGGACTTTGCAGTTAAGAGCAGTGCTGCTCTTAAGACCTGAGTTCAAGTCCCAGCACACACACACGCGCGGTGTCTTAACAACCGTCTGTAACTCCAGCTTCAGGGCAGGCAGTGCCCTCTCCTGGCCTCTCCCAGCACCAGACATGCAGTAGTGCACATGCATACAAACAAAATGCTCTACACAAAATCCTAAAGCAATTATAAAAACAAGCCTGAGTCACACTTGGTAGGAGGTACACATCTTTAATCCAGCACTTGGGAGGCAGAAGCAGATGGATCCCTGTGATCTCCAGGCCAGCCAGGGATACAAGTGAAACCTTGTCTTTTAAAAAAATAAAAAGTCTGGATTGAAAGTCAGTATAGTTAACCATAGCAGTAAAATTCATTTCGTAACTTTCCAGTTAATACATAAATTTGAAATTCGACATCTATGTATTATTTTAATGCTTAAAAAGTCTAGAACTATAGCACTTGGTTAATTTTTATCTTTTTTTACAAAAATGAAAAATTGAAAACCTTCCAAGATCAAAAGGCAACTCGCCATCCACACTTCTGTTCAGTATGCAGTGTTTGCAATTGTAGTCAATACAATAAAACTAGACAAGCACACTTGAGATTAACACTGAAAAGGGAAACAGTAATATGGGCTACAGCATCTTGTGAGCATAAACTTCAGCAGACGTGTCAGACTTCAGGGGGCTTTAAAAGGAAAGGATTTGCCAAGCAGTGGTGGCGCACGCCTTTAATCCCAGCAGTTGGGAGGCAGAGGCAAGTGGATCTCTGTGAGTTCGAGGTTAGCCTAGTCTATAGAGCTAGTTCCAGGACAGGCTCCAAAGCTATACTGAGAAACCCTGTCTTGAAAAAAATACCAAAAAAGAAAAAAATGACCTACATGTAAGGGCTGGGTGTGTTGCTCAGTGGTAAGATGCTTGCCTAGTATGTGTGAGGTCCTAGGTTCAATCCCCAATACCACACCACATGCAAAAAGCACTATATACATAAAATAAGACATTTTATCAGATCATATTGTATAGATGTCAGTTGCCAGGTGTAGTACACTGCATAGCCTCAGCTGCATACCGAGAACTCCCAAAATAGCCATCTCATCCTCAATCACTGGTATGAAGCAATTCCTGCTAAAACCCCAATAGTGTGTGTGTGTGTGTGTGTGTGTGCACGCGCGCGCACAAAGCACATGTCTGTGAGGGCAAGGAGGCCAGAGACTGACATCAGATGCCGTCTTCAGTTGTTTTCCCCTTTTTTAAGATTTATTTTTCCCTGGCATGACGCGCGCCTTTAATCTTTAATCCCAGCATTCGGGAGGGAGAGGCAGGTGGATCTCTGAGATCAAGGCTAGCCTGGTCTACAGAGTGAGTTTCAAGATAGGCTCCAAAGATACACAGAGAAACCCTGTGTCAAAGAGAAACAAAAGCACTCTAGCACCCTTACCCACTGGAACCTGACTCTGGCCAGACAGATCTTTATTGTTGAAGTATCTTATAAATCTTACTACTTCTGTTACTTTTTGTTTGTTTGTTCTGTTTTTCGAGACGGTTTCTTTGTGTGGCCCTTGTTGTTCTAGAACTCGCTGAGTAGACAAGGCTGGACTGGAACACACAGAAATCCGCCTGTCTCTGCCTCCCAAGTGCTAGGATTAAAGGTGTGTGCCACCACCATCTGGCTTCTGTTACTATAATGAGCAGTATTTTGAATTTTCAACTTAACATGTGGTTATGGTTGATTTTTGTATATTTATTTTGTATCTAACCTCTTCATTGAGTTGCCTTTTTTTTTTTTGTTTGTTTGTTTTATTTTTCATGGTATTCTAGCTACAGAATCAGTCTTCTGGTTTTGTTTTCCTTTTGTGTGTGTTTGTGTGTGTGTGTGAGTGTGTAATGGGCAGCTGTGCATATGTCCCAGTGCCTATGTGGAGCTCAGGGGTCAACTTTGAGAAGTTGTCTCTCTCCTTCCACCATGCAGGTTCTGGGAATTAAACAGGCAGTCAGCCTTGGTGGCAAATGCCTCTACCTGATGAGCCATCACCCTTTAATTGGTGAATATTCATGCTTAGTGCTGGGATGCCCCCCACTATAGCTGTATATTCCTGCTTAGTGCTGGGATGTCCCCCACTCTAGCTGTATATTCACACTTAGTGCTGGGATGTCCCCCACTCTAGCTGTATATTCACACTTAGTGCTGAGCTGTCTGCTCACATTCCAGACTCCACTTTCCTGTTTTCTTAGGAACCTCTCCCTCACAACAGCATTAATAGGCACTGGAGCCTTAGATCCTGACGCAGGTAGTCTTGACAGTTTTATTTATCACCACCCAAGGTATTCTGAAGCAGCAGCAGAAGAGGCAAAATTCCCATTAGTCATGCAGAGCTTCAGGCTGCGGTTACAGGCCCCCTGCAGTTTAACACGATCCCCAGGTGACTGATACCACCAAAGGAACAGCCTTCTAGAAACTTTTCCGTGGCGACTTATTTAAAAGGCTTGAGAATGGTGTCATTGGCTGCTGGGTGCTATGAGGTACCTCTGAGGCATCTACCAGCTCCCCCCCAAAAAACCCTTTTGTCCTCTTTGTGGCTGTCATGCATTTTGAAGGTCAAGTTCTTGGTCCCAGAACAGCCCAGTGTTCTGGATCTCCACACTGCTGACTTCCTTATTCCAGTCTCCGCCCCTGGAGGGGGCTGGGCTTCCGCTTCAGGAGCTGTTGGCTACTAGGAGCAGGGCCCAGAGGGGCCAGCCTCTGTGTGTGTGTGTGTGTGTGTGTGTGAGAGAGAGAGAGAGAGAGAGAGAGAGAGAGAGCTGCCCATGCTTAGAGCTGCCCACACTTTAAAGTCCGTCTTAATGCCCTCCTCAGAGATGGATGGGACCCTGTGACAAGAGTCTCCCTCACAGCCATCTGGAGTTGGCCTCAGGGCACATGATGTAAGGACAGCTGTGTGTATCAGTGTACAGGTGTCTCACAGCATCTGGGGTGGCCTGATTGGAGAGCACCCCAGTCATGACAGCCATCCCTAACAGACCCTTTTGTTTGTTTATTTGTTTGTTTTTCAAGACAGGGTTTCTCTGTAACATTTGGAGCCAGTCAGCTTTTTTTTTTCTTTAAGACAGGGTTTCTCTGTAGTTTTGGAACCTGTCCTATCCTGGATCTCACTCTGTAGACCAGACTGGCCTTGAACTCACAGAGATCCACCTGCCTCTGCCTCCTGAGTACTGGGATTAAAAGCATGTGCCACCGTCACCCAGCACCTTTTGTTTATTTTTGAGACAGTCTCACGCAGCCCAAGCTCACCTCCAGCTTGCAGTGTAGCCAGAGCTGCTCTTAAACTGTTCCTTCTGCTCAAGTTCTGGGATTACAGACGCGCACTGCCATGGCCCATCTTGTAGAGCTAGGGATGGCTTTGTGCGTGCAGGGAACTGAACAAACCGAAACATCCTCAACCCTCAGCTGGCCTCGTCCAGTGACTGTGGAAGAGTGAGCAGGAAGTTGGGACAGGGAAAGGCAGAAGCGGGAAGTCTCAGACAGGTCGCCAGCGGAAGCCAGAGGCAGTAAAGAGAAGAGAGAGACTTTTAGAAAAGTGGATCTCGGGAAACGAGGCGACCTGTGTAAGTGGAGCTGAAGTGTGAGCCGCAGACAGACAGCTCGGAGAAGGCTAAGCAGTGAACCTGGGGACTCAGCTGCACACAGGAGGAAGACAGAAAGTAGTGGTCTTCTCCGAAGTACTGACAAGAATTTCTGATCTCTCCCAGCATGGACAAGGGTGCAGGAGCAGGCAGGAGCTCCCAGGGAGAGAAGCAGAAGTGAGCCCACCTCTTTGCTCTCCGGGAGAGCACTTACAACTAGAGCCCGATCCCTGAGCTGGGCTGGAGCTGGCCACGTCCTCTGGAAGGCTCTTTAGACAGTGGAGACGGTAGTCTTCTGTGTTCTCCAGGAATGAAGGTGAAGGCGGGCATTCCAGGAATGGCCTGTGTCCCTCAGATTAGGATCCTACCGAAGGCCTCAGTGGACCACCCATGGACAGGACTGCTGAGCCCACCTCCCCTCTGCCCTGTGTGAGCAACACGGGGATCAGGGTCCACAGAAAGGGCACAGCCTGGCCTGCAGGTCCTGGACTCAGGGGAGGTAGAGGGCCACCACCACATAGATGACCCAGCTCGTAGATACAAAGACCCCAAAGAGCAGGCTGAAGAGTACGAGTGAGCGGGCCTTCCTCGAAGCCTCCTCCGCCTGTGCCAGGTCACCCCTGCCCAGGGCTGCTCGAGTCTGTAATGAGACAGGTCAGGGTGGGACGCATCAACAGTGATTCCCCCTCTACCCGCCCCAAACCCCACCAGCACAGCTTCAAGACCAGACCCATGCCACAAGCCAGAACTGCCAGTCTGGGAATAGCGGTACCCAGCCCCACAGCTCATTGAGGTGCGGGAATGGTGGCAGAGGTCCCTCCTCTAGCACTAACGAATGCCCTCAGATTTCTCTCATGTCACCTCATAGCAACTCTCAAATGGGGCTCATTGCACCCCACTTTGCTGATGATGGTGTGAAAGTTCAGCAGACTTGAATGACCCCACTGGGTCACACAGCTAGTGGGGAAGTCGAAACCCACAGTCCCATCTCTGAGCTGCTTGCTCCCCTCAGCCCTGGCTGGCGCTAACCTGAACTGAGACATTCCCCTCTTCCCAGCAAGGCCAGGCCATTAGCTGCAGGCACAGCTCCCACCCCAAGGCTTGCCTTCCGTCAGTCAGAAAGTTAAGGCACCTTCATCAGTGAGTCCCCAGGGCCTAAGCCAGAGGCAGGCACATGGACAGTAATGGAGGGAAAAGCTGGAGGGGGGAGGGGCGGGGAGAGATACTAGTGAGACAGAGCTAGGATGGAGACGGACAGTCATGCAAATGAAAGAATGAACAGGAAGTGAGGCAGGGGAGTAGAAACTGGGAGGTGAGTCAGTGAAAAGGCAGGTGAAGGAGGTGGATGAATTGACAGATGACGGATGGGTGGAGGGCGGGAGGCTGAATTGATAGAGTGGTGTGTCTTGGTGGGAGGGAGGGCAGGGAGATGAATTAACCGGTGAGTAGCTGTGAGCCAGCAGGACAGAGGTATGGGCAGGCAGATGGTAGCTAGACAGAGAGGCTAGCCGAGGAGGCAGCTGGATGGGTATGCAGACTCCAGGCTGCTGAAATACTCCAACAGGCTGGGCAACCCCTCGGCCCTCACCAATCATTTATACCTCCTTTTGTTTTCGAACTTGCCAGAACAGATCCTTAATAATGAGGGTCACAGGCAAACAGCAGGAGGCAAACAGACAAGAAAGGCTAGGCCTCCCAACGGGGCTTCTTCCTGGGTCCTACTCAGCTGTTAGGTGTGTAGGACACCTGCAAGGCCCGACAGGGCAGAGGCTCCTTTCCTACAGCTGTGTCCCTCCCGGTCACCTACCTCGTGGGAGTAGACAATGGCAATGAGCCCCGTGAGCAGGCAACAGAACAGGGTCACCAGCACTGACTCCATCATGAAGTCCTTGGGCAGAGGCCTGTGCTCCACTTGCATGGGGGCAGGCCCACCGGCCATGGGGCTGCCATACTGTGGGGCAGAACAACTTACATGAAAAACCAGAGAAAGTGGGACTGACCCCCACCCCCTTCCCCTCCTCACACGCACCCCCGGCCCCTGGAGTGTTCTCGTCTCCACCCTGCACACACAGCCTAGTCCAGGGCGGACCACCACAATGTCCTATCCAGCCAGGGAGCTGTGTAGGCTTCCACCTCCCCCACAGTAGCAACCCACTGCCTGCCTGCCGTTTTGTCAACAGGGCCTCTCTAGGTAGACTTCGCTGGACTCAAACCCAGGGATCCACCCACCTCTACGTCTGCTGGAATTACACCTGTGCCACCATAGTCCTAGCACTGAGGAGGTGAGGGCTACAGAATCGGGTGTCTCAGCTACAAAGTGAGTTCCAGGCCAGCCTAAGTTGCATGAGACCTTGTCTTTAAAAGAAGTTCTCTTTTAGCCAGGCGATGGTGGCCCAAGCCTTTAATCCCAGCACTTGGGAGGCAGAGGCAGACGGATCTCTGTGAGTCACGGGCCAGCCTGGTCTACAGACCAAGTTCCAGGACGGCCAGGGCTAAACAGAGAAGCCCTGTCTCTGGGAGGAAAATCTTTTTATTTATTATTTTTCTTTTGATCAGGCTATCACCTCACATCCACTTTGGGGCCCTCATCTCTAGCCACCTGTGTGTAGGTCTGCCATGGGGCATGCTCTCACCGAGGGGAAGGGGAAGGAGGCTCCCGCAGCGGCGGCGGGTGGGAAGAGCGGCCCAGGCGGCGGTGGGTAGAGTGCGGTAGGCCCAGGTGCGGGCTGGAACAGCACCGGCACCTGCGGGAAGGGCGGGTAGAGTAGCGCCACTGCCTTGGGGTCCGGCGGCGCATAGGGCGGCGGCTCACCCACGAAGCCTATGGGCGGCACGGTGCAGCCAGTGGCCTTGGGCCCGGGCCCCGCCTCGCCCGACGTGGACGCGGGTTCTGGGTCTCCCCGGGCGGGCTCGCTGCCCTCTGCGGCCGCGGCCCCGTCCTCGTCTGGCCCTGCGTCTTCATCCAGCAGCTGCGGTCGGCGTGGGAGCTGCGGGAGCACCGGCTGCGATGGGTTGCGTGTGTCCTCGGCGACGGTAGGGTCCTCTGGGACTGTGGGGCTGTCTCCCCCCTTGACGTCGGGACCTGGGGAGAAAGGCCTGTGAGGCCAGGCTGCTGATCCCTCAGCCCAGTCGCACCCAGAGAGCAGGGGACCCAGTGCGTTCCTCCAGGCAGCCTGGGTTCCAATGCTCCCATCACCCTGCCTCATGAGGTTCTTTCGGTGATGCCTCCTCTTGAACCTATGCAGAGCCTGACACTTTCTCGGGACATTGACAAAGCACAAGTTGGAACTTAAAACACTGTGTCCTTGAGTCGCCAGAGCTTGGGGAGGAGTGCTCAGTAACATTAGTGGGTCAGCTCTCAGGGTGACCAAGAAGTTCTGAACGTGAAGGAAGGGAAGTTCACTATGCAAGGGTCCAGGACTTACAGATACTGACGCCTCAGCTCTTAGCAGTGGTCTTGCCAGGGCTGGTGAGACGGATTTGTTGGTGACATGTCTGCGTGCAACCATGGAAACCTGAGTTCAATTCTTTGAACCTATACAAAAATCGTGGCAGAAGTTTGCCATCCCAGCGGTGGAGACTAGCAGACCCTGGCGCTCACTGGCCAGCCGCCATAGCCTAACTAATGATCTAACAGTCAACGAAAGACTCAAACGTCGGAGGAGACAGCTCCAGAGATAATCCTTGAGGCTGACCTATGACCTCCCTCTTGGGAAAAGAATAGGGGACAAAACCTTTCATGATGGAAAAGTTCATGCTGCGTGCTTTAAGCACACTTTTTTTTATTTATTTTTTTTAAGCACACTTTTTAAAAGTGCATTTATTTGTATAGGCATGAGTGTTTTACCTGCATGTATGTCTGTACATTATATGCATGCAGCGTCTGTGGGGTCAAAAGAGGATGTTGGGCCCCCTGGACCTGGAGTTACAGATGGTTGTATACTGCCATATGGGTGCTGGAAATTGAACCAGGGTCTCCTCTGCAAGAGCAGCAAGTGCTCTTAACCCCTGAGCCATCCCTCCAGCCCAAGCCCTGCTTTTTAAAAAACTTCTCTCCAACCCCTGAGACAAATCTCAAAAACCACCAGGGGTCGCTGAAAGTGAAAACAGCAAGTAGGTTCCTCACTTGCTCCCTCAGGGCCCGGAGTTCAGGATAAAGGAATGACCCCGCAGGAAAAAGAGTGGAGATGCTGGACTTCCTCAGCACTGCCTGTGAGCTAAGCCATCATTGGATTCCTTTGCGCCCTTGACTGTCTCTGGTCCTGGAGGACCCCAAGTCCTGAACAATCAGGGATGCTCTGACACTCTAGAATTAATCCCCACAAGCATCTAATGCAGCCCTGAGCACAGGTGTAGGGGCAGACCCACACACTAGCACAGGAAGCCTGAGAGATGAGTTGACCACGGAGAAGTCACGCACAGAAGGTGAACTCAAGCTGAGTGTGGCGCAATCACCGGAGCCAGGGAATCACAGCAGCGCTGAGGGCAACACTGACAGCCTCAACACCAAGGGCCCAGGGCCGTATAATCTGCACTGTGAAGAAGCGACCATGTGAGCTTTCTTCAAGGAAAACCAAAGGGACCAACAAACTCTGCAATCCCAGCACCCAGGACTGCTGCAAGTTCAAGTACAGCCAGGACTACCAGACCCTATCTCAAAAACAAAAAGAAAGGTCAGCTGGATGGCTCAACATGGTAGAACTTGCTGCTGGGTCTCAAGTTCAATCCCCAAGATCCACATGGTAGAAGGAGAGAAAAGACTCCTGCAAATTGTCCTCTGGCCTCCACTGTGAACCATGGAATTCTAGTGCTTGTCCATGCACCTCAAACTCACAGAGATCCACCTGCCTCTGCCTTCCGAGTTCTGGAACTAAAGGCGCAATCCCAGAATTCAGAAGGCAGAGGCAGGAGAATCTCTGAGCTTGAGGCCATCCCGGCCTACAGAGTGAGTTCGAGAACAGCCAAGGCTACACAGAGAAACCCTGTCTCAAAAAATCACACACACACACACACACACACACACACACACACACACACACACAATTAAAAAACTAATGTATACCATCTCTGATACCCAGACACTGGAATTAGAAGAAAAAGCATCCATGTTCCACAAGGTAAAGAGAAACACACTTGGGAACCAAGTAGCAATTTTAAACTAAATTTTAAATTATCTGAGTTTATTTCATTTATTGAGACAAATTCTCACTATGTATCCCCAGATAGCCTGGAACTGAGAGTCTAATATTTGAAGAGATCACAACACACATTTTTACTATGTTTGGTCAGTGTATTTGAACAATACTTCAGACTTAAAACCTTAAGAAAACTTTCTAAAGGCTGGGACATAGCTCAGTGATAAAGAGCGTGCCCGCTGAAAGACCTGGATAAATCCAGACCCTTCTAGCAGGAAACATAGAGCCAAATATCTAGCAGGGAGAGAAGAACCAAAAATCTAGGTTAGCCGATTCAGAGACTCTGTTCCAGGAACTAGCTGACCATAAAGTTAGATTATAACCTTGAGGGGCTGGAGAGATGGCTCAGTGGTTAAGAGCATTGCCTGCTCTTCCAAAGGTCCTGAGTTCAATTCCCGGCAACCACATGGTGGCTCACAACCATCTGTAATGAGGTCTGGTGCCCTCTTCTGGCCTGCAGACATACACACAGACAGAATATTGTATACATGATAAATAAATTAATTAATTTAAAAAATTATAATCTTGAGAAACGGGGAGTTACCCCTTGTGATTATCACTGGTATTTTCGGAATTTTCCAGTGACGCCCTCCCTAAGCCCTTTGGGTTGTGGGTTTTTTCCCCTAAATACCTCCGTTCCCAGCTACTCGGGGTCGAATTCCTCTACGCCTGCATGGGAAATGAGTTTCAGCTCCAGCGAGCTCGCTCCTGTCCTGTCAATAAACCTCATGTGATTGCAGCAAGGACGGTCTCTCGTGAGTTCCTGGGGGTCGTGTTATCTGGAGACTTAAGTGAGCCTCCCCACTCCGGGGGTCTTTCACGGCATTCATGGGATTGTGGGTTCAGTCCTCAATACTGAAGAGAGGGAGGAAGGGGTGGAAATGTTTTGGGGGTTTTTGGTTGTTGTTTTTAGGGTTTTTATTTATTTATTTGTTCTGAGACAGGCTTTCCCTGTGTAGCCCTGGCTGTCCTGGAACTCACGCTGCAGACCAGGCTGGCCTTGAACTCAGAGATCTGCCTTGCCTGCCTCTGCCTCCTGGAAAAGTTTTCTAAAGTCACCCAAACAGGGCTCAGGGATGGCTCAGTGGGTAAGAGCACTTGTTGAACACACATGAACCCACAGAAAAAGCTGGAGTCTGTGGGAAGAGGAGGTGTACACCAGAAACCTCAGTGCTGTGGGGATGGATATAGGAGGAGGGCTGAGAATTTCTGAGCCCCAGGCTGGGCGAAAAATCCCCTCTAAAGGGAATAAGGCAGACCGGAATCCCCCTCTGACCTCTCTGACTACTGTGAACCCACTAGTTAACACATGTACATGTACAGACACACACACCACTGGCACGTTGTAGCTCTTGCCCTCTCTTGTAGGGAAATCCTTGCCACTGCCAATGAACCAGGGCGAGCCTACTCCTGGACAGACCACAAACAACCGGTAGGTAACTCTGGAACCAGCCAGTCAGTCCCAGGAACCCTCGCCTGGATGAGCTGGCCCTAAGAGCAGGTGCGAACACGGGACCTCTTTCCACCAGCTATAAAATAAGGACAGATAGCAATAGCAGTGTTATAACTATGACAGGGAGCAAGTGCCAGGGCCCTGGGCTCAAGTCCTCCCCACATCTTAAGGATCCTCCTTACACAGACTAGGGAGCAAAGGGCCCAGCAAGCACTTCAGCAACTTAAAGTCACTGCGAAAGGAGCCGGGACGCGGTTTCAGAAACGCCAGGCCCTTGACCCAGTTATCATAACAAAAACCGCAATTTCCCTGGATCCCGCCAGAGCAAATACCTGGCCCGACGGGCACGCAGATAGGGGCCTCCGAGTAAATAAATCCACTGGCTGTGCCTGGCTCTGTGGCCTGGGGTTCTCGAGTTCTCGACACCCGAGCCTGAGGCGACAGTCCAACCGAGACAGAGGAGGTGTTGGGGCTGTTCCAAGGCTAGGGGTAATGTAGAAGCGGGCGGGGCACAGTGAAATTCTGCTAGTCACCCCAGCATCCTCTATAGCAAGTGCAGGGTACGAGGGGCACCCGGCGCATCTGATCACAACCCTGCGTGGATCCTGGCAACACCCATGCCCGTGGGACTCCCGAGTGAGCGCCGGGACGCGGTTACGGCCCCCCGGGGTCCTCCGCTTAGATGTGTGGCCGCGATGGGACCCTATCAGGGAGCATCCACACCTGCCTCTCAAATCCAGCCTGCGAGCTCTCTCCCATACGGCTCTGCACGCCTCCTTGCTGGGTCACCCTGCTTGAGGAGCCTCAGCCTGGTCGGGGCTGGGGTCGGTGAACAAAGCAAGCACACACTGGACACAACCAGGAGAGTCTGGGCGGGAAATGCAGAGCCACCTGCTGCTGCCAGGACACCTGCTTTCTACCAGGATCCCATCCTTCCCCAGATGTCCCGCAGTGATGCAAGAAAGAGCGAGAGTTACTGAACTTTTCGCCGCAGCCTCTTGGATCCCCCCTCCCCCGCGCCCAGTGTCACCTCGCTCCTGCCTGCGCCCTCGGTCCCTGCGCTTTGCCCCCTGTACCCGGCGCCCCTTACCTGCCTCCATGGCTGGATCCGCGTGGGTGCACGCAGGCTGCGCTGCTCCGGGTCTCAAGCCTAGGTCCGCCCCATTCGGTTGACCGTGCCGGCTTGGGTTTCCTGGTGCCCGCAGCGCGACAGGTTAATAATTGACCGCCTTGTTTGTCCACGACTGTGTCAACACGTCGCTCCCTCTCGCCCTGGCGCTTGCAACCCACCCTGAGTCCTCCCGGCTTGGGCCAGACAGCGCTGCGGCGGACCCCGAGGGCAGGATCCGCTCTGTGGAGCCTAGTGAACCCTTTGAGGAGTTGCCGGACCTGGATGTTGGGGGGCGGGGACGTGGTCAAAATAATAGGGCGGGCAGGAGGCTCGTGCAATTCCCACAGGGATGGGTAGAGCCAAAAGAAAAACCATACGGAGAAGAGGAGACGTGGGCAAAGGCAAAATAGAATAACTAAGTCATCATCTTCCGGCTCCCTGCCCCCAGAGAAGCCAGGAGTGTAGATTTCATCTAAGAGCTGAGGTTTAGAACAACTGGTGCCTAACTTTCTTCCCAAGATGCACCAGGCCAAAGAATGTACAACAGGTCCGAACCCAGTCACCTGAAAATACCACTCTCGCAGCACACGCACGCTTGGTCGCCTTATTATTCACGGCTATGCTCCCTTACGAGGAGGAATGTTGTGTCAGGTTTTCAGTTATGCGAGTCCATAGAAGAAACAGGGTCACTCGGGAGAATTTTAGCCTTTGCAGCCTCAGGGAGTCAGCCTCTGGCGAACTAACTGACTGTAGTTTTGCAAACGGTTTCTTTTACTGTTGTACAATTTACACCGTTAGCAAGTCAATTTCCGCATACCAAAACCTCTTATCTGAAGCTCCCCAAAGAGACAAATGCCTAAGCAATTCCCAGTCACTGGCCATCTCCGTTTACCGAGTCCTCCCAAAACCAGGTTTTGCATAGGCTTTGAACCTTTAGGAAACTCTCAGATAAGATTTACATACTTCAAACAAAGACACAAGGGGTAGCAATCACAATCACAAAGGCAGATCAAAGCCAGGTGCTGTCATTCCGGAATCAGACCAGCTGTTTCCAGAGTGCTGGGATTTAGTGTGCCACCAAACCTGGCTCCGTCTGTTTCTTTGAAGGGTGGCATAGAAAAGGAAAGTCGTCACTGTCCCCATCACCTGCCGTTATAGCTGCTGCCTCCTACACAGGACACCAGGACTTAAAACAGCTGGGTCTGCTGTCACCATCAGCACTTGGTTTCATTTGACTTATTTCGAGTAGAAGTATTATTTCTCAAGGACAAAGTGCGATGATGCCACACGCCTTTAACCCAGCACTTGGAAGGCAGAGACAGGCGGATCTCTGGGGTTCACAGCCAGCCTGATCTACATAACACGTTCCAGGACAGGCTCCAAAGCTACAGAAAAATTAAAAAAGAAAAAAAATGTCATGTAGTTGTTTAACAATGAAATACATCTAAACCGGGCAGTGGTGGCACACACCTTTAGTCCCAGTACTCAGGAGGCAGGGGCAGGAGAATCATAGAGTTTGAGATATTTGGCCAGCCTGAGATCTCTGTAAACCAGCCTGGTCTATAGGATGAGGATAGCCAGGGCTACACAGACAAAAATACAAACAAACCAAAAAATGAAGTGCATTTAAGTTCAGAAGGACACGGTGGCGCAGGCCTTTAATCCCTGGCAGTCCACGGGCAGAGGCAGGTGGATCTCTGTGAGCTCAAGGAAGGTAGGCCTGGTCTAAATAGTGAGTTCCAGGACAGGCAGGGCTATAGGCAGACTCTGTCTCAAAGCATGTAAATAAACAAATGTAAAAATGAATCTAAAAGTAAAAAATCCTGACAACTTATAATGGATGTGGTGGCACAAGCCTGTCATTCCAGCACACACCTGTCAGTCCGTCATCCCAGTTCACACCTGTCATTCCAGCACTCACCTGTCAGTCATCCCGGTTCACACCTGTCATCCCAGCACACACCTGTCATCCCAGCACACACCCATCATCCCAGCACACACCTGTCAGTCATCCCAGCATACACCTGTCAGTCATCCCAGCACATACCTGTCATCCCAGCACACACCTGTCATCCCAGCACACACCTGTCAT